ACATGGGGTTAGCTCGTTAAATTACAATAAAGCCTTGTGCAGTTTGCAGCAAGCTCTCGAATCCGCCTGGTGATTGGGGTGACCGCGAACCTGGCCTGAGACCCCGGATACTTGAGTTTTCGGGGGTCTAACAACACCTACCTACAAAAGCCAGGTGTGGTGATGTGTACTTGTAAGTTGGAAAGGTCTGGGCAGGTGGGCTCACAGGCCCACCAGCCCAGCCTAATGACCTAGCCAGTGTCCTAGGGAGAGACCCTGTTTCAAAAACCAAGGTGGATGGGTCCTGAGGAACAGTACCCAAGGCTAACTTCTGGCCTCCACATTTATACATGTGCACACACACGCGCGCGCGCGCGCGCGCGCACACACACATACACACACACACACACACACACACACACACACACACAAGGAGTGGGAGAGGGAATGAAATTTTTTTTATATCTACATATATTAAAAAGGATGACATGAATACATACCAAAATGTTAGTCATAGTTATATCCGGGAAATGATAAGGTTTTATATACTGGCAGCTTTAATTTTCTTTTTAAACTAGAGGAAAATTGAACTGAATTTCAAATACGGATTTTAAAAAGATTTAAAAAGCTGGAGATGAAAAGTATAGGAAGTGAACAAATATGATTTTAAGACTCATTATAAAGCACTTGTATTCATCAGGTCAAATCATGTCCAAAGTGTATCTAATGAATAGAGTCTCTCTCATTAGCACATAAAAGGGCTGATATATTAACGTTAAACTGAGTTCTACCACCTTTTTTCCATGCTAAAAGCAAAACTGGAGGAGACGCACAATGTGGATCAAGGACAGAAATAGGTGTCAGTGGCTCTGGGCTCCAATCTTTTCTGTGCTGGTAATTACCTTTCTCTGAGCAAATCATAATTTTTCATTATCCTCGTTTATTGATTTGGAAAAAGAACAGTGGAAAAACTACTGACTACTTCTTTTTAGTGCTGCTATGAAAAGTCAGAGATGTCAAGTACTTTGAAAACACCCTGTACTTTACCAAAACCCACCAAGTCACAAAACGTGCTTAAGTAATTCACCGCTTCTGTACCCACGCTAAGAGCAAGGGAGTCAATTGACTTATTTGACTGTGTATTCAACATCCCTGCTGCTTGTGAGGTGCAGTAAACATGCATGCATGCACACATACATACACACATACACATGCATGCATGCATACACACATACACATTGCTGTTTTGCCTGATCATCAGCCATTTCTCCACTCACTCTGTCTTGTCAGGCTTCCTCTATAAACCAATACAGGAAGGTCTTCCACCTCCACTTGTCCAAGATCTGTAGGCATCTGATCACAGATCACAATGTCAAGCAGGCCCTCATTCCCCGAAGTGTGGAAATCAGGCAAGGGAGCAGAAGGTTTGGTGCGGATCTGTCCCACCAGTAAGGCCTTAAGTTCCTGCCTGTTGAGGCCCCTTCCTAAGATCTGGGATCACTGGGATTCTCCAGTTTGCCAAGTTATTCCATTGCCTTCTGATGGGTTTCTTTGTCCCTTAAGTCAGTCACAGTTGGTTTCTGTTACTTGTAACCCGAAAAGCAGCTTACCTCAGGGCCCTATCCACGCCATCTCCTTGAGAGGACAGGAGGGCTAGAAATTGTGTAATACACGTGCCCTTGCATATATATAACCTTGAGGATAGAACCCCATCCCTTGTCTCATGGTAGGAAGAGGCTTGGCCTCCTGGGACGTTATCTTTAGCCATCACAGAACAGTCCACACTAGAATAATCTCCTGCTCCTAAAACACAAGGACTACGCTTTTTGCAGCCTAATGTGGTAGCTACTAGCCTCATGTGGCAATCTAAACTCAAAACCAGGACAATTAAATCAAACCAAATTCAGTTCATTGCAATTCCAATTTTAACTTAGTGGACATTGACCTAACATAGATTGAACAGTGGTGACTAGACTAGTTCATGGCCCAGAGTCTCACTCACAATGCTCCCCATGGGCAAGTCAAACCCTTTACTAGTTTGTTGTAACATCCATGGGTTCTCAAAGTGAATATATAAATGAGATACCCTAAGGGCCTTACATGTTCTAGAAACTATTAGAAGTGAAAAGGCCTTTTTTTCTTCTTCCTCCTCCTCCTTTTAAAGAATGCACTAAGAAAAATTCCCGAGAATGTCTAATATAAGTAGAAGTTCTATGAAGCATTTTATTTTGGTTTTAACAAGGTCCTTTGGTTTTACCTAATTGAAGCAAAGATAAACCTCTATAAAATGTTCTGTTTTTGAGACAGGGTTTCTCTGTGTAACAACCCTCGCTGTCCTGGAACTCACTCTGTAGACCAGGTTGTCCTCAAACTCACAGAGATCCACCTGCCTCTGCCTCCCAAGTGCACCACCACTGCCTGGCCAAAAAAAACCTTTCTTAAACTATAATTAAAGGTTACAGAATCATTAAAATTTCAAATAAGTTTTTAAAGAAATTAATTATAAAGAGAACAAATGATAAGTTCCAGATGAGTTTGCCCCTGCCTTGGGGATGCTACTCCCTTGGGGATGCTACTCCATGTTTGGAGGTGGGGGTGTGCTCTAAGGTCCACATTTGCAAAGAAATGCTAACACTAACTCAACAGAATCTTGTACGGATAAAGTGATGGTGTATCATTCAAAGCTCTTTGGAAGAGCATCTGAAACTCAGAGAGCTGATCCAAACTAGCATGGTGAAGAGAATCTAAGTCCTCATAGAGCCGGGTGGGAAAGGGGGAGCCGGGAGGGAACCAGGTAGTGTAAATTATATCCAGCTATCCTAACTTCCTTAGTCGCCAGAGAAATATAGCACAGGAAGGAATGGGCACCAGATACATGAGTCCCCTGTGATTATTTGTGTTGTTGACTTTCTTTTTTTCTCCTCCTTGCCAACACCATCACCCCTACTCCTCTCTACCTGGGCAAGGCATGAGCCTTCCCCTCTGGAGCTGCTCTTTTCAAAACAAGCCAGCACTATGAACGCTCTGAATCCCGTTCAAAGGGGAGAAGCTAATAAATGAAGAGACAGACACAAGCTTCATGTATGAGCTTTAAGTTAGAAAGACGAGGGCTTGACCCACCTTTACTCCCAGTTCCTTTTGGTTTCCCTTGCTTTAGGCTTACTGGCATGCTAACCTCCGAGAAAAATAAGCTGAGTTCAGTAGTGGTTTTTATTTTCCTTCCAGCAAATCTCGGAGGCCTCGTAGTGATCAGCACGTATAGAGTGAAGAGAGCATGAAGAGACTCTGAATATGTTAATTTTACTTTACAAAAATGAAGATGAGCCAGAAAGAATACATAATATAGGTAAGACTCATTAAGCTGTCACTACTTGGAAATATAGTTTCCAGGCAAATAAACACCCGAATCTCACTCTTGCAGCTTCCTCTGAGTAGTGCATTCAGCTCAGATCTCCCATTCTCACACATTCTATTGACTTCAAAGAGAATTATGGGTGAGCAAGAAAATGAGAATGAGGTAGGACAATTATAATTTTGAAAAAGGAAAACATGGCAATGTTGATTGGGTTGCTCAAAAAAGAAATAAAGAGACAGTCTCCTTGAATATATTTAATTGCTCAAGAAGGGCAAAGTGTTTTGGGGGGTCTAAGTTTCTGTGACTTTAGAAATGAGCAGAATTGGAAAACATGCTTCTGTGTCTTTTCCAAAATCAAGGTAAAAATTCATTCACAAAATTCACTTCTTTTTTAAAATTTATTTACTTGTTTTTATTACATATACAATTTGTCTGCATATTTGCCTGCACACCAGAAGGGGGCACCAGATTTTATGAAAGATGGTTGTGAGCCACCATGTGGTTGCTGAGAATTGAACTCAGGACCTCTGGAAAAGCAGTCAGTGCTCTTAACCTCTGAGCCATCTCTCCAGCCCCAAAATTTACTTTTTATTCAATTTAACATTTTGAATGCTTACAGTACCAATGCTTACCAATAGGTTGGTTCACACCATTATTGAAAAGTTGCCATAAACCAAACCAAACGAAGTCTTTGAGCTGCCTAATGGACTGTCCTGAGAATCTCCAGTATTGTATCTTTGTTTTAAGGCAATGTTATGTAATGGGAAAATAATCAACCGAGGAAGAGATGTCGGCCTGGCCTTCCTGAGTGCATGGTTTTGGTTAGGTTCTCTGATGTCCGAGCTGAAGACTGATTGACATTGTGAGGTTTTAAGAAGTGGTGGAATCTTCAAGGGGCAATTAGTCATGGAGGTGCTGTGCTCACGGATAGATTAATGTCTCTTTCTGTGGGGCAGGGCTAATACTTCATGGAGCTCAGGGACTTCTCACTCTCTGGGACTGACCAGTCACTGTGAGGACTGGCTGTTAGAAGTGAAGCCACACTTTGTGTTTTGTCTCTTTTTCTCTTTTGCCTGCTCACCTTTCTGCTTTAGTCATTTTATGACACAGTGCAAGGGCCCTGGCAGATGCAGCTGCATGGTTCCCAAGATTTCCATCCTCCAGAACTGGGAGCTATATCAACTTCCTTTCTTTATAAACAACCCAGTGTTGGGAATTCTGTTCTAGCAAATGGAAAAGTAGACTGAGACACTGATAAATTGGCTTATACTTCACACAGTTACTAAAACCCATAGATAAGGGGATGGGGAGATGGCTCAGTGGTTAAAAGCACTGGCTGCTCTTCTAGAGAACCTGGGTTCAATTCCCAGTACTCACATGACAGCTCACAACTGTCTAACTCCAGTTCCAGAGGGCTCTTATACCTTCACACCAATGCACATAAAATAATGTTAAACAAAGAAACAAACCCATAGATAAGAAAAGGCAGATGTCTGTTTACATCAGGGAAAATGTTGGCGTCTCATAAGAATAAAAACTACATCACTGCCTAAGCCATGCCTTACTTACCTTCAGGAGATGGAATGAGGTAATGGCCAGATACATGTGGGGTGTTTCTGAGAGCAGACACTTACTACAGCAAAAGGATATTGGGCCACCAGGGCAGGACAAAGCTGGGTATTTGGCATAAAAACACAGTGCATCATAACAAAGTCATTTAAAACCGCATCTGGAAGTGTGAAGAGAGAAGAGATTAATTCTTGTGGGCCTTGAAACTTTGGTTTACTTGGGGTTACAAATGCCTGTTAGAGGAGTTAGAGGAACTTTGTTTTTTTTGTTTTTGTTTTTGTTTTTGTTTTTTGTTTTTTTTTCCTCAGCAAAGCTTTCTCTTTTTTGCTAAGATATATTCAGATATTCCCTGCTACTCTGTTTTAAGACCCTGGAAAAACTGTACCCAAACTCTTAGACCTTACCTTCCCAGTCCATGTATGCACATCAAGTAGAGCAGAGCCCAGACTCATGGTCCCTCTTTCCTTGCTTCTATGCCTCGGCTAATTTTGTCTTTTGGGATGGAAGGCTTTGTCAACAACTCTAGTCAATGGTCACCAGCTTTTCCTCAGGGCCACTTTGAAGTCTAAACTCTCTGAGGCATTTTCTTGAGTCTTCTTGTTCAGAGCCCCCAAGCACTGACCGCATTCTGCCTTAAATTCAAATTGTTTCTACATTTCCTTGTGTCTTCCAGCACATTCTAAGCTTCCTGAGGGATAGAGAGTGATCTCCTGTTTACATCACCTGACACAAGGCATCCATCGAAGATCCTACCTGGACCGACTCAACCAACCCTTCTCTGAGAAGAACAGGCCAGGGGGCTAGGTCCCTGGCTTTATGTCAATTACTTCCCAGGTCATTTGCTGTTTTGCAGAATCTCAGATAATCAATTCACAGAATAAGGCACCAAGAGGAGATTAAGAAGTCAGTGGTAACATAGTTACAAGAAATACATAATAATGGTGTCTTCATCTTGAGTATATTTCCAAGATCAGCTATTAAGTGGATTTTGAGCTACCGCTAAGTTTCTGGGATAAATCTGTGAATTTCTTATAGTGAGAAATGTTCTCCGTGGAGGGGACTGCTTAAAACATTAACACATGACATTATTCATAGGGACAGGCAAATAGCATAGGTTTTTCTTTTAAGTTGAATGCCTAACTGGGCCATGTAACTCTGTGGTACAGCACTTGCCTAGCATATCTGAGGCCCTAGGTTTGATCCCCAGCAACATAAGAAAGTAAAAAGAAAAGGTTGGCTGTGGGCTGTTCCTTCCAATTCATCCACAATGTGGAAGTGATATAACATTGGACACAACTCACTCATGAGATTTGTCTTGTTTATCCTCAATACTGGGTCATAATAGCAAGGCTTATTTGATATAAGGACGTTTATATGTTGAACTTTGTTATCCACAAAAGATATGTTGTAGGACTGACCTCCAAACATGACTCTATATGGAAACAGGATCTTTGAAGACACCACCGAGTCAAAGTAAGTAACTAGTGTAGGTTCTAACCAATGACTGCTGTTGTTTAATAAATGGGACACTGACCATAGAGACAGATATGCACAGAGGGAAGACTGTGTGAAGACTCACAAGGTGAAGACCTTGCAAGTGTGACACTGGGTGGTACATCACATGTGAAGGAATACCAAAGATTGCCGGAGGACACCAGAAGCTAGGAGAGAGGCCTGGAACAGACTCTTGCCACAACCCTCATAAGGAAATCAGCCTACTATCACCACCATCTTGGATGTCTAACCTCCAGAACTGTAGGACAACCAGATGCCATTGTCTCAAGCATTTGCTGTTAGAGCAGCTGTCAGTAAACCAATACAGGTGGTATTTAGTTACACTCTGGAATAAGACTCCACAACCACAGAGAGAACCATTTAGCCTTAAGGTGGGCAGCTTCAAATGCTCTATGGGACTAGGCTGGGTTTAAAGGGAAACTAGTAGACACTTGTGTGTGTGTGAGGGGGGATGAGACTGAATGGCATTTTAGCAGATGTCTGTGAAAGGCTGCTCCTGATGTCCTTGACTGAAACCGCATCAATCTAGGGATAGGTCAGCTCTGCACTGACCAGGGGTGCTCTTTAAAAACGGATGCACTCAACGCCCCTCTAGAACTGCCTTGGCAGCTCTAGAGAGAATCTTGGTTTCTTTCTTCACAGCTCTGTACATGACTTTGTTGACCTACAAAAGGCTTGTGGATGCTTACCTGTTGCTTCATTCAAAGATGGTTCAAGGCGTATTGTTTCTAAAAAGTGCTCTAAAATTTTTTCAGGTGTTCCTGACATCACAGTATACCTGGACAAGAGATAAAAGGGGCATTAGTTTTACACAAGTGAGCATTCATTGGGAGAAACACATTACTGGTGTATGTTTTTGAAAACTGAGATCCTGGGAAACCATACACTACTGTGACTGTGACTAGTATGTTCTCTGTGGTGAGGGAGACCATGTACATTGCCCAAGAACACAAGAAGGCAATAGAAAAACAGTCAATAGAAGCAGTTACTAAATGTTCTCCCCCCCCCCATGTGGTACTAAAGGAGAATCTAAGAGAGCAGCTCCCACAGCTGAAGCTGACAAAGGTCAGCCTTAATCGGAGGCAGAATAAAAAGTTTATAATCCCTGGGGCAGGACAGGGCAGGGCAGGGAGGGGAGCTGCTGAAGGAAAATAATGGTGGGCTGGGTTATCCAGACATGGGTCACTCATAGAAAATGTCAGTGTCACACTGGATTTCCCCGCTGATTTCTGGAATGTTCTGTCTTTTCCAACTGTACGCTGCTATGTGCTTTGGAAATCAGCTAATAATAAAACAAAAGAAAACAAACCCCCAAGCGCCAGCGAGCAAACAAACCCAGGGAGCATCGTGAATGGGAAGTAAATCAGAAATAGCAAACTATATGTAACTTATTCAATGCCAAATATGAATTATTATAGGGGGCTACATTAGTCATTACTTCAGGGGCTCTCCTCAGGGTGCTGTCCAGTCCACAAGAGAAGGTTTACTTTTAAAATCGAATGTGAGTTAAAGTCAGAGTGAAGACAATGGACAACAGTAAATGATAGCAGGAGTAAATGGGGGTGGGCAGAGTCCGTGGAGACGATAAAGGTGCACCTCAGCCAGAACTTAGGCCTGGCCTTCCTGCTTGGCAAAACGACAGGAAAGGAATATAACACTGCAAAGAACATTCTCTCATGTTCCGATAGCAGAGAAAGAATGGAGCTCAGCGAGAACCCAGCTTCCTTCACCTCTGCACCAGTGTGCTTCTCTTGCCTGTTTGGGACTGTGGAGAGATGGCAAGAGCACCTGCAATGTCAGTAGGGTCTAACTCCTGTGCAAAGAATGAAAGAGACACAATAGCATGTGATTCTCTGTATATGAAAACAGAGCGTGTGAAGCAGCCCTGGATATCAAACTCGGGGCCTTGTGCGTGCTGGGCAAGTGCTCTGCTACTGAGCCATATATGATTCACCAGGTGAGCTGTCAGAGGAGGAGCCTATGGTCACATTAACTAGGAAATGGAGGGGTGGTGGAGAGAGCATTCTCTACCTGCCTGGTGTTGACTATGCCCCCCAAACTAGTTGGGGGCTAGATTTGGTACCTGCACTTACTCCTGCTAGTTAATATTACCTCTGCTCTGCTGATGGGGAAACTATTTGGCAAGCCTTAGGGAATGTGATTGCGTGGGCTATTTGTTTGTTTGTTTGTTTGTTTTGCTTTGTTTGCCTATGCAGCAAGATGCTCTGGGTGGAGAGGCCAGGCCTGGCTGCCAGGAGCTCACTCTGAGCAGGAAATTCTCCATTTCATTGAGAGTCCTCCTCTCTGAGGGGGCTTTTCTTTTCTGTTGGGAAAGCAATCTGTATTTAAATAAGAGTATCAATGCATTCTTTAACTGAATGCCGAGTGAGTGGGTTACTTCACATGTTGTCTGGTGAGCAAGCTCCACTGGTAATGGGCCCCTTTGTCAGAACTTTAATTCTGAAGCAGTTTGTGTTTACATTATGGTTCTCCTTGTTTGGACTTCCCTTAGGCAGACTGTTCTGCTGCCTGGCCAGTCACACCCCACAGGAACTTTCTTGGGTACCTGACTCCCTCTAGTGGTTAGCTCTGTGGATTCCTTATCTAGCTTCAGGACCCACAGAACTCAGGAGTTTGGGCTGGGGACTGAAGAGAAAAAGAGGGCATGGAAACTTCTAGATGGCTCCAGTTCTGCCTAAAACATCAGGCTCTGGCTTTACTTCACACCAGCAACAGGCAGGTGCTACTGCCTGAGTCCTCATTATGTGGGGTCATCAGTGTTTGAGAGCACCATAGAGTGCAACTCTTGTCAGTTTCCAGCAAGGAAAAGCTGCCCCCGTTCCAGTCAAAAGCACACACCAGTTGGCTACCTTATATCAGCCAGCAGGTTGTACTGAACTTGTGAGTAAGAAATCTTCTCCTAATACCAAGTCTGTATTTAGAACAATCAAAGCAAGGGCCGGGGAGGAGGAATGGCAAAGCGGATCTTCCTGTGACCAAGGTGGGAGTATTGCAAGGGAAATCAGTCCAAGGACAGTCATTTCAAGTTCTTGTCTTACTAAATCCTCACAACCCAGTACCCAAGACATCCACCTAAGGGAATGTCACCGTGACTCCATCATCACAGCTACTAACTTGATATTAGCATTGATGTGACATTCAGGGTTCAGTGGCTTGGGTAGAGCCAGGTAGTTTTGAAAGCTTAATGTATAGACATCAGCTAATCTGGATTTCTCAGGGGGGAAACGTAAATCAGAAAAGTAACATTATTGTCACCAATAAGACCATATTCTCTGAGTTAAAAAGGAACACCTGCAGACAGGCACCCTCAACAGTATGTTTATCTGCAGACAGGTCGTTAGCATGTTCTTGAAGTAGATGAGAACGTCAGCCATTAATTTTACTTACAGGGACCATCCCCTTGACTCTGACCAGTCTTGGGACATGGCCCTTTGAGAGATCAGTTTTCTGTTCTTTAGGGAGCTGACTGTGTGGTCCATTGCTTTGTACCCACTGATTGACGTTCCATAAATAGCTTGCTGCAAACATGCAAGTGTGCATTATCTTTGAATTATATAAGAAATTTGGACTGGATGACAGGACACAAATGGAAAATTGATATGATACTAAAATAAATGTAAGACACGTGGTGTCTTCTTTTATACCGCCTTTAGTTTGACTTTTCATTCCACTGAATTTATAAACTGGAAGGCACCCTCAATAGAAGGCTTGTAATAAACACAGGCTTTTGATTCTTCCCTCGTGTATGAAAGAGGCCTCAGGGTATCTCTTGTTCAAAACGTTTCAAAATTAAGAAGAATTTTCCAGATACCACAATTTTCTTGAGACATGAGATAGTATTAAGAATGTAGCCATCTGCAAAATCATCTAGTTATAAATAAAAATTTTGGACATAGCATAAGCCCTCCCCCCACACACAGAAAAAGTTGCCATTGTCATCCTCCTCAGTAGGCTACAAAGACAACTGCCAAAAAAATGGGTAATAACAGTGATAATAGGGCTGGGACCATAGCTCATAGCTCACAGCTCAATTATCTAGCACTTATGAGGCCCTCGGTTCAATTCCTGATACAAAAAGAACAGATAAAAGCAAAGATAATTAATAAATAATAAAGAAATCTGGAAAATAAGTCTAGAGTTTTATAAGTGAAAGAACAGATTTTTACACAATTCTTTTTAGTGCCACCCCCTTTAAAATACATTGGTTTGCAGCATTTCCCATGGAGTGTTGAAGATTCAGTGTTTACCTACAGTCATCACTCTCTATGTGAGTAGTTTGGTACCAGCACACACATCGACACCAAAACATGCAGCTGTTCATGGCTTTCATACAAATTAGCATAGTACACATCTTCCCATATACTTTGATTTGCTCTAGATTACTGACAGTACCACATATTTACCGAAAGTAAATGTGATACAAATAGCTGTTATTCTGGATTGTTTAAGGAATAACCATAGGGGAAATCATGTGGACACGTTCAGATGTATCACCTATTCTCTGAGTATTTTGGGACTCGTGGAGCCGGGACCCTTCTACTCTGTTTTGCTACTGTAAGCTAGAAAGTGAGAGGAGCAGAGAGCTGGTCAAGCTGAAATTCCCTTTAAGGCAGCAGTTCTCAACCTGTGGGTTGTGACCCCTTCTGTCACATATCAGATACATTATGATTCATAACAGTAGCAAAATTATAGTTACGAAGCGGCAGCAAAAAACAATTTTGTGGTCAGGGCCACCACAACATGAGGAACTACATTAAAGGGCTGTGGCGTTAGGAAGGTTGAGAGCCGCTATTCTAAGGAATCCCAAAGGAGTTCCGAGTCCTTGAGCAAGCCACTTGCCAATGAGAGCTGAAATGCCTCCATCCCTTAACGGGGTTGCTGTAAGTAAGGACTAGATAAAATCTGCAAAACATACTGTGCTTATTTAATGATATGTTTCTTCCTGTCTTTTTCTCAGACGTGTTGACTTACCCTGATGAAAACATTCGAGCCATAGGCTTTTAGTGGAAACAATAGAAACGCATCAGCTTTGGTGAGTGCTCTGATAAAGGGAACCCCACTTTACTCAGCAACAAAGAGAAATGCTCTCTCAACATGTTATTTGGTGATGTTTCTTTAGCAAACAAACATTCATTTGCTTTTCTTATACACAGATTGAAAATGAATCCCCACTTAAGAATCTAGAAGCCCCAATTTCCTAGAGGATCATTTCTAAGTCTTTTGTCTCATCACTCAAGTGTTGGTACATTTCATGAAACAGCCCCAGGTAGGGAGTTACAGCAAAAGCAGAAACAGAACCCAGAATGGCTGGAAATGACTTGAGTAAAAGGAGAAGCCTAAGAAATGTGAACCGAAATTCCCATTTGCTGCTGGCAAGAATAAGCACCCAGGAAGCAAGTGAGATAGTACATGTTATCAATTCAAAATCGGAGTTTTATCCATGATGCTTGGCTACTCCAATAACAAGGTGCAATGCTTTATGAGAAATGTCCCTAGGGCACCACAGATTCTCATCACTGGGACCTGTGATACCCTGAGCTGCCTGGCATGCCTACTGGCATTGTTCTCAAGGGAATCTTCTTTTTGAAGCTATTATGGCTGAACAATGTGGAGGGAGAGGCTTCAGAGGACAACATTCTCTCTGGCATTACTCTACACAGCACCAAGCTCAATGCAGTGCCAGAAATGGATGCATTATACGCCACAAGATGTGTGATTAGTCAATAGAGAGAAAAAAAGTCATACACACTGCCATCTTCCACACAAAGGGAGAACATGCTATTGTAGAAATGATACCATGTGAAAAGGTTAATCATAGTCTGGCAATTACAGTGTTGGATGCAAACATACTTTTGCTGAGGCTGTGAGTTTCCTTGATTAGAAGCTCTGCTCCCTGCTGGGACCTTCTCCAGCACCAAGACATCTTGGTCATGTTCTTTAAGTCTGACTGTATTCGCCTCAACGTCCTGCAAACACAAATTATACCACATACAGATGCTGCTGTTCACTCAGACAATGACAGAAATTTCCAATGCTTCAGAAACTCATTTGGAGCTTGTGATGTTAATTGTCGCGTCTACAAATTAAGCCATTTTCAAAGTCAAGGGCTGGAACGGTCAGAGGGAGGACCAGATGAGGTTTGAAGCATATGGCTTGAAAACTCTGCTTTTTACCCTAGTCTCAGAAAAGCTCCTGTGGAGCCTGGTGTGGCTGTGGTGCTCTGAGAAATCTCTGGGGAAGGGCAAGGAGCAGGCAAACAGCAAACCAGAGGCGTTTGTTCCTCCTAAAAATATGTGGCAAACTGCACTCAGCTGCAGCAAAGTCCTTCTCTGTGACCCTTAGGAGTGACACCTCTGTCTAATTAAGCAACTGTTTTGTTTTGATTTTGACACATCGGGGTTTATGTGCATCCATGTTTCTTTGTGTGCACTCCACTTGTGCAAGTGTGCATGCAGAAGCCAGAGGTCTACACCTCAGCCACTCTCTATCTGTTTTTTGAGACAGTCTCTCGCTAAACCTGGAGCTCTCAGATTCAACTAGACTGGCTGGCCAGCAAGCCCAGGGGTCCACCTGTCTCTCTTCCCAGCACCAGGGTTACAGATGCACACCGCTGTGCTTGGCTTCTTGGGTAGGTTCTGAGGATCTGAACTCAGGTCCTCATGCTTACGCAACAAGCGCTTTACCGACTGAGCCATCTCCCCAAGCCCATGCAACAGTTCCTCCAAAATCAAACTGAAATGTGATCCAAGCCCTTTTCAGTTGTTTTGAACAGCTTTATAAATGATGTCAGTGATAAAATGGTCCAACTATGACTCTTCCAAATGATTTTTTTTTTTTTTTTTTGGCAGAGCATAACCCCATGGGTATAAACTTCAGAGTTAGGTTCACCTAATCCTTAATATACTTTAAAATATTTACTTTGAAATTTTTACTACCTTTTCTTAATATTAGTCTCCATTTTAAATGAGACACGATAAGGATAAAATTAAGATCCTGTGATATCTTCCCCTATATTATCCAATGGTATAAACTTTATTATTACTAGTTTCATTATCATCATCATCATCATCATTTTTGACAGGGTCTCATATGTCTCAGGCTAACCTCAAAGTCTCTATGTAGCTGAAACTGACCTTGATTTTCTGATCCTACAGGCTCTCCACCTTCTATGTGCTGAGCTGATGTGTGTGTCCCACCATGCCTGCTTCATACAGTACTGGGAACTGAACCGTGTGCCTCAGGCCTGAGGGGCAAGCACTCTACCAGTGGAGCCACGCTTCTAACCCTCTCAATGGTATGAACTTTAATTTTCTTTGCTTTGTGACCAAGTGTGTTAGCAGTGCTGTGAGCAGAGGCCAGGGCTTCAGGCACATGGAAGGACAGGGACACAGTGAGCTTGTCTGGTACCAGGAATCATTTTTTTTTAAACATCTCCCACTCTTACAGATACTTTAAAAAGCTGTATGGGACTCTTCATCAAACCAACTCAGAGCAATTCGGCTGCTCCACCACCTCCCAAATCTCTCACCTATTTGCCAGTATCTGTGACAGCTGTAGTTTAAAGCAATCTGAGATAAAGCCCTTGAATGAATATACTTTTTGTTTGTTGTTTTTGGTTTTCAAGACAGGGTTTCTCTGTGTCACCCTAGCTGTCCTGGAACTTGTTCTGTTGTAGACCAGGCTGGCCTCAAACTCACAGAGATCCTCCTGCCTTTACCTCCTGAGTGCTGGGGTTAAAGGTGTGGGCCACCACTGCCTAGGAAATGAATATACTTTGTTGGAAATAATAGGCATTGATTTCCATTAACAAGCACTCAGGAAATCAAGAGTCTGATGATTTGAGAAAGGTTCAGACTTGGGAAGAGATAGAATGTGGACCCTAGAAAAACAAACATTCGGCTGAGGGAAGTATGTTGGACACTCTGTTGGACAGTATGGTAGAAAAGGGCACAAAAAAAGGATGTACATGAGATTATCGAGACACTTGTTAGACTTTGATATTTTGCTAAGGTGACTGCTATTACTGTCCATTCATATGGACCAGTATAGGCATGTGCAGACATATTTGGTCAAGCAAAATATTTAATGTCCATAGCTGGTCCCCAGAATGTACACCAGCACACTGAACATGCTTGTTTCACAACAAAGCTTGTTCAAACATCTCTTTGCCACAGTCCTGTGGGATGAACAATCCGCTCAAATCCTTTCTTATTCAAGAAGGGGAAAAATAGGATATCCTTTCGCCAAAGTCTGCCCTTTCAACTCACCCTCAAAATCCGGTTGAAATCTTCCTTGTCAACTCTTAAGAAGTGACAATTATCTTCTCGAAGAACAATGGAGGCGGCTCGTGGGGCATCATTCACGAGAGCTAACTTGCCAAAGTCATCGCCCTCGTGCAGGGTGCAGACCACACCCTGGGGAGAGCAGGACATTCAGATAAAATGGATCAAACACCCTCCTTCCTCTCCCCTGCCCCTCCAAACACTGTATCTAGTATTATGCAATAAAATTAAAATGGCTCAAATTTTCTTTCACAGAGTAAATACAGTCAATGAATGACACAGTGTGATAATTGAGAAAATGCATGCTCAAATATGAAATTATGACTTTTCTACATGGAGTAACAATGCCATGGTAAGTTCAATTGTAGCAATGTTTGTTACTACTTAGAGGCACACTAGCAAATGGAGTACAATCAAAATTTCAGAAAGAAGAAGATATATATAGATATATACCTTGCCATAAATGACTACATTCACTGATCCTTTTAGAATAATGTACCAGGAGGTACCTTCTTCCCCCTGGTTAAACACTAGACACAAAAAGATGAAGAGACTTATGACAAGAATAGAAGCACATCAATATAAATTACAGCTTATCAAATCATCACTTTTAAGTCCCCAGAATTATGCACACATAAAATACAAAAAAAATTTACTGGCAAATCCTAACTAATTCAGGTGGAATATTATTGTCTTTCTATAGAACATAAAAGGACAAGAGACTGTACTATTTGCTCTGCTCTGAAAGACAGGTTTTTACTGGATATCAATTTACCAGCCATCCACATCTTAATGGAATGCATGTTTTCCCCACAATTCATAAAGCATTGTGCTGTAGAAAATAGGCTTTAAAAGTGACCTGACCAGTAATGTGAAGTTTGAAAACAGGCAAATCAGTGCTGTAGCATGTTGATAAATATATACCTATGCTTATATTTTTAATTGGTTTGAATGATAACCAATATATCCAGAGTAGGATCATCCTCGGGGGAGATGAGAGAAGAGCAGATTAAAGGAAGGAACAAGAGACAGCTGGGGGTGGGGGGTGGGCAGTTTCATTGTGTGGAAAATATTTTAGCTTTAGTAGAAACAGGAGGGTTTGATTAAAAATAAAATATTTAACAGTCTATTTTTCATCCAAGACATTTAAATATTTCATAGTATAGTGAAAACAACTAATGAGTTTGAATGAAAAGAACTAAAAGACAAGTAAAAAAGAATTAAATGAAAACGAATTAAGGAGACAAAAATTAAAAAAAGTAGGACCGTGATTCTGAAAAGGCAGTGAAGTGAGTTTCTTGCTGAAGGAGGGAACAAGGTTACAAATAGTATTCCCGATGGCTGAAAATAAGGCATTTCAAGATACAATTTCAAAACTCATTGTGCTTCTGTAATTCATATTTCCCATTAACCATTGTGATGTAGCTAACAAACAGCCACATTTTCCTGGAAGTTTGCTTAATTGCTGTAGATTAACAAGCCTGTGTCACCAGGCTTAGGACATGCCCGTTTCTGTCTAGCCCCCCTTTTCTCTTTGACGAAGAGTCCCTGAGAACTTTTGCATATTGATTCTGCCACAGATTAGGCAAGGGGGAATTTCCTGGCCTTAACACCAACAGCTGAAGGAGGATTTTGTAGGACTATCGGAAAATACCAGCTTTGGCAATACTGCTTGCATCTATTAATATCAGAATATCTTGCTTCCAGGTATGATCACAGGACTGAAGGACAGCTTGAATTCTAGAGAGATGCACCATATGATTCACACAAGAGGCAAAGAAATCCTCTTGGGCTTGGAGCCCATGGTGCAAGGTGAAGAAGGATGTGAAACGCAATACTTTAAATATAACTGTAAGAAGAAATTTCATAAGCCAAATTAGTTACTGTTTTTTAAAAACTTAGTTTAAACTTTTTGTAACTGGGTCTTATGTAGCCCAGACTGGCTTCAAACTTGCTATGTAGCCAAGGATGACCTTGAACTTCAAACCCTCCTACTTCCATCTTCTTCCAAGTGCTGGGATTACAGGCATGAACCACCCTTCCAATTACACCCTCTCATTCCCCAGGGTCATGTAGTTCCTGAATAGTGACCTAGGGACTGTTTCCCACATGCTAGGCAAGAGCTCCGCTAACTAAACTATCACCCAGTCCCGGATTAGTGCTTTTAAATCCACAAGTTGAAATGAAGTCACCATGGAAGCTACCACCCACAGCCCGGTCAGTAGAGCAGAGACTTCATCCCACCCATTTTAGACACTGTTGAACCAGTTGGATAGAGAGCCAGGAGGCTCAAACAGGCAAGTGCTGCAAAACCACCAAACTTCAGATTAATGGGCACAAGCTGGAATAGTCACAGATCCAGAAAAGCACAAGTGCCACGAGACATCCTTCCAGGTTGGAGCCAACAGGGAGAGTGTGGCATTGACCTTGAAGAGCAGGCGGTTCGGGCAGGCACAGTGCTTCATTAGGGCTCTCACTTACACACAGTTCCTCCTTTGGCATGAGACTCAAAAATGAGAACACCGGCTAATTCCCTTTTCACCTAGAAGGAAAAGGAAGAATGTAGGAAGGTGAAGTAAGGGATAAGGACTTGTGTTTTGTGTGGGTGCCTGTTAGCTGTGGTTCCCAGGCTCACCTCAAAGCTGTTCCTCTCACCTTGTTTATACAAATTCCTGTCATCCAGAGCTACTTTCACTAGACTTGCCGCTGGGATCTCAACATCCATACTAAAACAATAGGAAAGCTTACAGCAAATTCCCACCAGGCAGCCCCTTGGTGACATTTATTTATTTTGTGGGGTGACTGTATGCCATGGTGAACATGGGGAGGTCAGGGAACGACTGGTGAGAGTTTGTTCTCTCCTTCCACCATGTGGGTTACTGGAATTCAGGTCCTTGGGTTTGTACCTACACCCATGCTGAGTAATTTCTTAGGCTCAGTTACTGGTTTTCTTTTTTTTTTGTCATTGTTCTGTGACTTTTTTAAAATTTATTTTTCGTTTGTGTGTACAGTGTTTGCTTGAATGTATGCTCACGCACCACAACTTGAGTAAGAGATACTTACTGTAGTAGAAAGATGGGATAAGGCTTTGATATGAAGGAGCTCATCATAGATAATCTCTAGGTCATCCACAGTCCTCTGGCCAGGTCTACAAAGACAACAATGAAACATGTTGGTACACAAGCTTCAAATAAGGAAATGGATCCAGTAGTCAGCAACATCTTCTGGGGGTTATTCTACATGGAGAGGTATTGACTGAGGGAGATATTGTGCCACAATACCCCCAAAGAGACTAGACATAAGTGTATTCACTGGCATATGGAAAGAGTATATGGTAGGAGTTGCATGTTCAGGCTCCCTTGCCCTCCTGTCTCAGGGGAAGAGCAACTCTACATGGTCATTGGTTAACTTACCTGGCACTTTGCAGATAACTGTATAAAACACTACTCTTTATTGCACCCTTAATCAATAATGATAAAACTTGCCTCTTTAACACTAGGGACACTTGGTTGATCAACTTGACAATGGATTCACATTCCTTGAACTCTGGTGTAGTATCTTAGCCTAACAGAAGGGTAACCCTGCTGCTCTTACTGTTCTAGGTTATGCTTGATGCTCCCCAGAGGACTCCAATATGGAATGATTTCTTACCCAACCCTAAGAAGGTATGTCCATGGGGTGAAAAACAGGTAAATCATAGTGTCTGGGATTTCTAAGAGAAGGAAAGGGAAATACGTCCATATATCTGAAACTCTGTTCTATGGGCAACCACTGTCCACAAAGGGTTAATGATTTGTGTTACTGTTTTTTTTTTTTTAATTCTAAAGCTTACTACTATATAAAGTTAGTAACACACTTCTGATGTATGGAGTAGGGGATCATTTTTAATAGAAGAAAACGGAATAAAGTCCTAACTGCCTTTTGTATCTAAAATTATTTCAGAGCCACTAATGGCATTCAATAACATTAATAATAAGAGATAAGATTAATCAGTAATTTGGTTTTTTATTGTTCACTACAATATAAGGAAGCCTGACTAACATGTTCTTGAAAATTAAAGCTGGGTTATTAATTCGGAGAAGGCCAGGAAGTTAGCAGAGAAACAGTGTGTACACTGACGCCATCTGTGGGGTTGAATGAGAATGGCACCTACAGTCTCATATATTTGAATGCTTGGTCTCCAGTGGGTGGAACTGTTCGGGAAGGATGAGGAGGTGTGACCTTGTTGGAAGAGATGCATCGTTGGGGGTGGGTTTGAGGTTTTCAAAGCCCATTCCATTCCCAGTTAGCCTTCTCTGCCTTGTAGATTTGTCTCAAGATGTGAGCTCTCAGCTACTGCTCCAGTGCCATGATTGCCTGCCTGGTGCCATGCTCCCAGTCATGATGGCCATGGACTCTACCCCTCTGAAACTGTAAGCCCCAATAAAATCTTTCTTTTTAAAATTGTGTTGGTATTGTGTTTCATCACAGCAATATAAAAGTAACTAAGACACCATCCCTTTGATATTCCATTGAAAAACCAGAGATGATTCCTTCTTGAAAGAGATGAGAGATTTATGGGAAGCAGTGGATGTTACAGTACTGATATAGTTATTTGTGTAAGTGGGAAACAAAACCCAGCAACATGTTTCCCAAGACTCAAACCAAAGTGCAACAAACTTAAAGTAGAGTATGGTATTTAATCCAGTCATTTACATCTGGAACTTAAGTCAGTTGTGGAGTGTTCAGAACTGCATTACAAATATGATGAAATCGGTAAGTGGCAGGCTCACTTGGAGACAGCTGGGGAAGGAAAAATCATAACTTGCACATGACCTTCATAAGGACAGCTTTGACCTGAACAGAAGAATACCATGTCCTTGTTACATAGACTCAAAGGGAGACCTGTTTATTAATCCGGACTGCAAAAATACAAAATACAGGATTTGGGAGATGTCAGCCACATTAATTTCCTGCTAAGGATCATCACTGACGGACACAATGGCACACCAGTCTAGCACTTAGTGGGGTCACCTAGAAAGTACAGACCCTTAAGAGACACTGAGGAGAAGCTGGGGCCACAGGGGTGCCAAAGGAGCCTGGCCCTCATAGCAAGTGCCCAATTTACTACTTGACTTACATGTGGGGATTTTGAAACGAGTACCCTCAGGGATTTAAAAGTCAATCAAGTCACCTCCATGCATCTACAGCCATAGAGGCCACCATGGGGGAAAGCTCAGGTAGACATAATAGGATTACAGCTCTCCAGTTTGAGGAGCAGCCCTGCTGTTTGAGCTTCTTGACATCAGTTGCAAATAGCACAGTTGCTCCTAGATGCTTGCCTAAAGCAAAAGGAGTGACTGAACCGCCTCACCTCCTAGGTGTGGATTGAGTGGAAGGTGGTGGCACGACCTCAAAAAGAAAGGTTTACAAGTGTTAAAGCCAGTTCTAAAGCCTCGACTGATTCAATATTGAAGCTAGGAGAGCAGATCTCTGGGTGTTTAGGAATATTTATACAGTGGCAATACAAAATCATTATTGCTAGATTCAGATGCCTTTTTAAAATTTAGAATTTTAAAATTTATTTAAATGAGTCAATTTAATACATTAGATTATTTAGATTTAAATACGTCTTTAGAACTTACAAATCTCATTACAGTAAAAATAATTGCGTTTTATCTAGAATATCAAACATATTCTAGACGAAATACACTCAAAATCTGCCCATGTTGAGCCATTCCAATTAGTCTTAGGATCTGTGTGGGAAGAGGTAAAGATGATGACACTCAGTCTATTTTTGAAACGAGCTCTATTTGTTTAGTGTCCTACACCAGGGGCCTACTTGAGTTCTCTTCACCGACCCCCCCAGGCTCCTCCCCCACCCCCTGCTTCCCTAAACACCTTTCCCTGTCTGTCTGTTCTTCAGTGTGCTCTGGCACCAAGGATCTGCTCCATTCACTCTCCCCGAGAAAGGTTCCAGCTCCCATCTGTAGCCCCGTGACCTAACTCATCTCCAGACAGCATTCTCTCCTGACCTCAAGGGGCTCCCTGGGTCTCACATCCCAGCTTCCAGAACTTCTTTAGCATCCACCAAGGCTCTTTAAGGCCTGGTCTTGATTTACTGTTCTGAAGTCATCTGTCAATGCTCGCTGTCAATCTTTCAAGATAGCTGTGCTGTCTGCCCCAGCCGTCTGCATGCCTCTTCATTTCCTCAAGCACACCACACTTCATGTGCCTAAGACTTCCTGCAGCTCCATCTACTGAGGAGGCTTCTTTGCCCTTCCAAGTCTGTGGTAATTTGCAACCTTTTCTGAGGAGTGCTGTCTGCTTAACTGTTCCTAACCCCGCACTCCTCTCAAGAGAAGCTGTGTTGAAAAGGCATTGTGCACTAGGCTAGAAGCAGAAACTGGCACTGAGGTCTAACCTATGAGCTTTCTAGTCGCCTACTAGTCTAGTGGCTTCTTTCTGCATCTGCAATGTGAATACTGCATGGGACTGCTGTTAACCGTCACGTGAATAAAGCAAAGGAAGCACTGCGTATACGGGGAATACAGCACAAAGGCAGGATGGCATAATTTTAAGGGCAAGTTTTCATCACAGCTGATAGGACGGAGTTCTTGAAATTCAGCGGAGCCACGGAGCAGTTCTTGTCCTGTGGCCTGAGGGCTTTGTGCTTTGTGGTCGTCCCACTGACTAATACAAGGTGTCTACTGCACATTTCAGTTTGATTTACACCATGACAAACTGTAACAGCTGACTTCCTTATCTGTGCTTTTGCTTTCTGTAATTCCACATACCTGCAGTCAGTTGATGTCAAACATTATCAGATGGAAAATTCCAGAAGTAAATAACTTATGAATTTCAAATAACTCATAGAAAATTATTCTGATTGTTTTACCTTTACTTTATTATATCTAATTTATGTACTAAATCCTATTTTTGTGTGTGCGTGTGTGGAGGATAGTACCCCACTCTGTCCTTCTCTTTTTCTCTCTCTCTCTCTCACACACACACACACACACACACACACACACACACACACAGAGTTGGGTACCATCCACAATTTCAAGTATCCATGGAGCATCTTAGGACATATCCTCCATGGACAGAAGGAGATACCTTAATTCTCAGGAGAGGGAGGAAATTAGATGGATCAATTGATCCTTTCCCACAAATGACAGAAAAATGCATATCTATAGAATTATGACATGCAGCCAGTTCCTCTGCATCAAAGTGAATGTGAGGAGGAATGTGGATGGAGGTGACCAGGTAAACAGCACCTGTTGGGCTAGAAGCCTTTTTGGCCAGGATTTCGTCTGTGGTATGAAAGGCCTAGTAAGGAAAAAATAGGTGTCACCACCACACCTCACTGTGAGCTTTACCAGGTTTCTGGAATTCTTGGATAGTGGGAAGCAGATAGAAACAGACAGAGTAAGACTGGAAGCTCTGGAGCCTGACACCCACAGAAGACACTGCCATGGGAGATAAACGGTGGCATAGATGACAAGCTCTGTGTGAGCTTGTAAGGGGTGGGTCTCAGTAGTTCATTAACTGTCCCATACACAGATCAACTGGACTCTGGTCCCTTGCTAGCCTTCATCTACCACATGAGCAGGAGACAGTGGCAGGGTTTATCATGGAAAGAAAATCTGCTCTCTGAGGTGACATCCAAAGAGGATTCTCAGGGTGGCTGATGGAGCCTGGGAAAGGAAGACAGAGCTAATGATTTTAGAGACACACACAGTTGAGAAAGGATCAGTGGTTGTCCCAGGCAGTGTGTGAAACAGCTTCAGACAGGAGAAATTCTCTTTATTTTAGCAATAAATGGGAAATAGAGGTGTTAACCTCTTTGACCCCATATACCTCTCATAAAGCAGAAACTGCTGGGAAGAAGCCTAGTAGAAAGATCTACCTATTGCTTTCAGGAGAGGCTCTCATAGGGCACCATTGGAATACAGACACCCATGTGGCAACCTGCCCCAGCCCTGTAGATGGAATTTTTGATCCCACCTGGTTCTGAAGCTGGTTAGTATCAAATAAACACACAGAGGGTTATATTAATTATAAACTGTTTGGCCAATGGCTCAGGCTTCTTATTGGCTAGCTCTTTCTTAATTATTAACCCATTTCTATTAATCTATGTATCTCCATGTAGTCTTGGCTTACCCA